GATCGCCGCTATGCGATCAGGGCTGGCTGGATCAGGCTGACGCGTTCTATGAAATGCGAGGTTCTCTGGTTGCATCCCCCCACAGGGCTGAGTGACATCAATGGCGCCTCCAGAAAGGATCCAGACGCCGGGGTGTATGGTTATTTACTGCGCCCTGATAAAGGGGGCATGTTTTGGACCCCGGAATAACATTGGATCCTCTATCTGACGCTATACAGTAATAGAATTGTATCTGGACTATCAATCAGTGGCGTGGCGCTTCAATCTGAAATTAGTTGTTCTGCGGTACAAGGGAACTGTGGGAACCCTCTGGGGTGTAGGTTCTGTGCCTGAGATCACACTGGTAAAAATACTATTAGCGCTGAGTCCATATACATTGATTTCCATTTCAAGTCCTGTTTAAGGGGGCATTTCTTTTTGACCTCCAAAACACATTGGATTCCACTATCTCTTTGTGGAGGTAGCCATCTTGGTAGAGGCAGGGCTTTGCTTCCTCATGTCAGAGCCTTCGGCAAGGAGAACAGTGAGCAGCACAGAGGTGACATCACCAATTCGGCCATCTTGGTAGAGGCAGGGCATTGCTTCCTCATGTCAGAGACCCCAGCAAGAAGAACAGTGAGGAGCAGAGAGGTGACATCACCAAATTGGCCATCTTGGTAAAGGCAGAGCTTTGCTTCCTCATGTCAGAGATCCCAGCAAGGAGAGCAGTGAGCAGCACAGAGGTGACATCACGAGATGGGCCATCTTGGTAGAGGCAGAGCTTTGCTTCCTCATGTCAGAGACCCCAGCAAGAAGAACAGTGAGGAGCAGAGAGGTGACATCACCAAATTGGCCATCTTGGTAAAGGCAGAGCTTTGCTTCCTCATGTCAGAGATCCCAGCAAGGAGAGCAGTGAGCAGCACAGAGGTGACATCACCAGATGGGCCATCTTGGTAGAGGCAGGGCTTTGCTTCCTCATGTCAGAGCCCCCAGCAAGAAGAACAGTGAGGAGCAGAGAGGTGACATCACCAAATCGGCCATCTTTGTAGAGGCAGGGCTTTGCTTCCTCATGCCAGAGCCTCCAGCAAGGAGAACAGTGAGCAGCACAGAGGTGACATCACCAAATTGGCCATCTTGGTAAAGGCAGAGCTTTGCTTCCTCATGTCAGAGCCCCCAGCAAGGAGAACAGTGAGCAGGGCAGTAGTGGCATCACCAAATCTCCTGAGACTAGCAGTCAGAGGCAGCAGTGCCCCCGATCTCACGCTGCAGATACACAGCTATGAGGCTACAGTACAAGTATCCAAATCTGGAAGAGCGCTATTAAAATGAGATGAGAGTCCACTCATGTGACCTGTCAAAGTCACATGACCAGCTCTCCCTCCCTCATGGGGTTCTCTTTGCTGCATTAGGCAGAGAGAGAGCTCCATAGGACACCACATTCTCCATACCACGGCTTTCATTTTATGAATGGGCTGCGGTATGCACTAGTACTGTGAATTATAACGGGAAGTGGACAGCAATATCTGGACCCCTTCATTTGCTGTAAAAAATTTCATGTTTTTTTTCACCCTTTTTCCATCCTTTTCTGCTGAGCTCCTTCGCCTTCTTTGCAGTCACTTCCTGTCTTTTATCTACGTGCGCTTGTTCCATCATTATAGCTCTGGACTGGCTTCTTTATAATGACAATGGTGGATCATGCCTGAGCTTGTAGTTTCAACCAGGGGGGTCGTATAACAGGGTGGCAGGCCAAGAGCACAATTGGGAGACGGCTGCCACCCCATAACAGGAAGTGGCTGAACAAGGACTGTCGTGGCAGATCCACCAAGTGTTCTTTTATTGAAAGCTGCAGTGCGGATGACAGTTCTGAGGAGGGGAGAGGCACTGGGCCCAGCTTTCTAGGTGTATGGTGGAGTGTCTATGTTTCGGTCCAATGGCATGGGTGCAGCAGCTACTCACAATAATGGGGGGGCCAGGGTAGGGTTGCCACCTGTCCAGGATTCACCACGACAGTCCGGGTTTTCAATGCTGTGTCCGGGTTTACTCTCACCAGAAACTCGGACACAAAAGGTCAGGCAGACAGGCAGGGGCAACCAAAATTCAAAAAATGTCCGTGCGTCGCTAAATTGTGTTCAGGTTTCGCTTGAAGAAAAGGTGGCAACCCTAGGCCAGGGGGTCACCCAGTACATGAAATCTGCTTGCAGTCAAGCAATAGGGAGTGCCACACACTATGAGAGTTCAGAACAGAACTTTATTGATTCTATAATTATCAGGAAAATGACAGGAGATAGCCAACGCGTTTCAGGGGCTCAACAATCATCAGGGCTTAAAGGAGAACTATGGGGTCAGGGCTTTTCCCATAGTTCTCCTTAGGGTAACGGGAGGACACAAACTAGCGTCCTCCCATCACCCTAGGCTCAGTATAACGCGAGCTGCTGCTTGCGGTATACTGAGACGCCGCAGCTGAAGCGGATCCTGACAATTGTGCCGGGATCCGCCCAACTGCTTGACTGACAGCTGGCTCTGCCTATCTAGAGGCAGAGCCAGCTGTACCCGCCCCCTCCCCGTCCGTTCCGCCAGTCAGCGCTGGCGGATCGGAGCGGGGAGGTGGGAATCCAGCCCCTCCCCTGTCACGGCAGAGAGCTGTGACAGGATCGAGCGGTGAGCGAACGCTGGTATGTGTTCGCTCACTTCCCGTTCTACTGAGCCGACCTGTGACAGTCTCATTGTCACAGGTCGGCTAGAACTATGAGGGGAGTGAAAAGCACTCGCCTCATAGTTCTCCTTTAAGCAGTTTCTTGCACAGACTCAGAAGGACTCTAACTCAGGAGCCTCGGCTTTGCACCAAGAGCTCTGGCACTGACTACCTGCTTTTGGGCATTGATACACAGCCTACTGAGTTAGAATCCTTTTGAATTTGTGCAAGGAATTGCTTAAGCCCTGATGAAGGGGCATTGTTGAACACCGAAATGCGTTGGTCATCTTCCTGATAACGGTGAAATCAAATCTTAAAGTGTGGTTTTGGTGCTCCCTAGTGCTTGACTACAATATGAGGCCATGTTTGACCTGTTTGCATTGGCTTTCTGGTCCTCTTGAAGATGCGCTAGCATTACAGACAAACGCAGTCTTTGGAGTCCTAACAGTGAGCTGTGTTTGAATGTAAAAACTGTGTCTGAGAGCAATGACCCTATAGACAAATTACGGCCTGCCAGCTGTGGTGAAACTACAAATCCCATAATGCAACTGCCTATGACAGTCATGTCAGAGTCTTGCAATGCCTCATGGGATCTGTAGCTCCACCACAGGCGGAGAGCCGAAGTTTGCTACCTCTGCGGCCTAAATCTTATATGAGATTTTAGTGATTGGGTTTACAATTTTTTTAACCACTCTAAAGCCGCCCGTACACCTATAGATTATCTGCAGACTTTCTATGGTCAGATGGAAAAAGTGCAACAGATTCCTCCATCTAGGATTCTACGCTAAACTGAGTGGCTGGCGGAATCTCCCGCTGGGCCAAGCTTCAGTATCATGCTAGTCGGCCCCGCTGGCTCTCACAATACCAGAACAATGCCGGCATCCAATCAGATTGTTCAGGTATAGGTGTATGCAGGGCCGGATTTACTCTCCCTGCCGCCCCAAGGCCAGGTCCAGTGATGCGCCCCCCGCGCGCGAACCCCCCCTCCCTTCCCATCAATGGAGAATGGCAACCAGATGGCATGGTGGCGGGGTTGGTGTCAATTATTTTTACTGTTTCTTAATTTTTCTAAACTTTTTTATCACTTTTTATTTTATTATTTCTTCTTATTTTTTTTAATTTTTATTTATTTCATAATTTTTTTATCAATTTAATTTTTTTTAGATTTGTATTTATCTTATTTACTTTTTTATAATTTTTTTATCTTATTGTTTATTTTTTAATAATTTGTTTATTTTTTACTTTTTAATTACCTTTTTATTTTTTTATTTAAATTTTTTATCAATGTAATTTTTTTTTCACCTAACTTTATTGCTATCACACAGGAGAAAACAATCCCTTGTGTAATAGCAATTGGAGGTGACAGGTTCTCCCCTCTCACTGTCTACTACACGGAGCGGCAGGGTTACTTATAACCCTGCTGCTCTGATCACTGCAGTCAGAGACTCGGGACTCGGTGGTGGAGGACGGAACCAGAGGAGAGAGGTAAGTGCAGGGGGAGGGGAGAAGGCTGCACACTGTTTACATGTGAAATTGGTGACATCGCCGATTTCACATGTAAACGAAAAATCGGCTGCCTCACTCTACATTTAGTCCTGCTTGTACAAAGCAGGACTAAATGTAGAGAGGGCAACTTCCCCACAAGGACACCGCTGCCGCCCCTATGCGCCCTGCCGCCCCGAGGCCAGGCCTCGGTGGCCTTGTGGGGAATCCGGGCCTGGGTG